AGACAGTCACGCTGCATGGTCTAAATCACCAAGGTCACGACTCTCAGGTCAACCTCACCATCATGGAGCAGACAGTCACACTGCATGGTCTAAATGACCAAGGTCACGACTCTCAGGTCAACCTCACCATCATGGAGCAGACAGTCACACTGCAAGGTCTAAATCACCAAGGTCACGACTCTCAGGTCAACCTCACCATTATGGAGCAGACAGTCACGCTGCATGGTCTAAATCACCAAGGTCACGACTCTCAGGTCAACCTCACCATCATGGAGCAGACAGTCACGCTGCAAGGTCTAAATCACCAAGGTCACGACTCTCAGGTCAACCTCACCATTATGGAGCAGACAGTCACGCTGCATGGTCTAAATCACCAAGGTCACGACTCTCAGGTCAACCTCACCATCATGGAGCAGACAGTCACACTGCATGGTCTAAATCACCAAGGTCACGACTCTCAGGTCAACCTCACCATCATGAAGCAGACAGTCACACTGCATGGTCTAAATCACCAAGGTCACGACTGTCAGGTCAACCTCACCATCATGGAACAGACAGTCACACTGCATTGTCTAAATCACCAAGGTCACGACTCTCAGGTCAACCTCACCATCATGAAGCAGACAGTCACACTGCATGGTCTAAATCACCAAGGTCACGACTGTCAGGTCAACCTCACCATCATGGAACAGACAGTCACACTGCATTGTCTAAATCACCAAGGTCACGACTCTCAGGTCAACCTCACCATCATGAAGCAGACAGTCACACTGCATGGTCTAAATCACCAAGGTCACAACTCTCAGGTCAACCTCACCATCATAGAGCAGACAGCCACACTGCATGGTCTAAATCACCAAGGTCACGACTCTCAGGTCAACCTCACCATCATGGAACAGACAGTCACACTGCATTGTCTAAATCACCAAGGTCACGACTCTCAGGTCAACCTCACCACCATGGAGCAGACAGTCACACTGCATGGTCTAAATCACCAAGGTCACGACTCTCAGGTCAACCTCACCATCATGAAGCAGACAGTCACACTGCATGGTCTAAATCACCAAGGTCACGACTCTCAGGTCAACCTCACCATCATGAAGTAGACAGTCACACTGCATGGTCTAAATCACCAAGGTCACGACTCTCAGGTCAACCTCACCATCATGGAGCAGACAGTCACACTGCATGGTCTAAATCACCAAGGTCACGACTCTCAGGTCAACCTCACCATAATGGACAGACAGTCACACTGCATGGTCTAAATCACCAAGGTCACGACTCTCAGGTCAACCTCACCATTATGGAGCAGACAGTCACACTGCATGGTCTAAATCACCAAGGTCACGACTCTCAGGTCAACCTCACCATTATGGAGCAGACAGTCACACTGCATGGTCTAAAGAGGCTTCCTCTCCATGTCTCCTTCTCCATCTGCATTGATGGAAAACAACTGGATTATAGGTGAAAAGCCAAGTCCTAGTGGGATAACATCATACGTTCATGTTGTTTTCACCTATATTGTATGTAGGTATACAGTGGGGGAAAAAAAGTATTTAGTCAGCCACCAATTGTGTAAGTTCTCCCACTTAAAAAGATGAGAGAGGCCTGTAATTTTCATCATAGGTACACGTCAACTATGACAGACAAATTGAGGGAAAAAAATCCAGAAAATCACATTGTAGGATTTTTAATGAATTTATTTGCATATTATGGTGGAAAAGAAGTATTTGGTCACCTACAAACAAGCAAGATATCTGGCTCTCATAGACCTGTAACTTCTTCTTTAAGAGGCTCCTCTGTCCTCCACTCGTTACCTGTATTAATGGCACCTGTTTGAACTTGTTATCAGTATAAAAGACACCTGTCCACAACCTCAAACAGTCACACTCCAAACTCCACTATGGCCAAGACCAAAGAGCTGTCAAAGGACACCAGGAACAAAATTGTAGACCTGCACCAGGCTGGGAAGACTGAATCTGGAATAGGTAAGCAGCTTGGTTTGAAGAAATCAACTGTGGGAGCAATTATTAGGAAATGGAAGACATACAAGACCACTGATAATCTCCCTCGATCTGGTGCTCCACGCAAGATCTCACCCCGTGGGGTCAAAATGATCACAAGAACGGTGAGCAAAAATCCCAGAACCACACAGGGGGACCTAGTGAATGACCTGCAGAGAGCTGGCACCAAAGTAACAAAGCCTACCATCAGTAACACACTACGCCGCCAGGGACTCAAATCCTGCAGTGCCAGACGTGTCCCCCTGCTTAAGCCAGTACATGTCCAGGCCCGTCTGAAGTTTGCTAGAGTGCATTTGGATGATCCAGAAGAGGATTGGGAGAATGTCATATGGTCAGATGAAACCAAAATAGAACTTTTTGGTAAAAACTCAACTCGTCGTGTTTGGAGGACAAAGAATGCTGAGTTGCATCCAAAGAACACCATACCTACTGTGAAGCATGGGGGTGGAAACATCATGCTTTGGGGCTGTTTTTCTGCAAAGGGACCAGGACGACTGATCCGTGTAAAGGAAAGAATGAATGGGGGCCATGTATCGTGAGATTTTGAGTGAAAACCTCCTTCCATCAGCAAGGGCATTGAAGATGAAACGTGGCTGGGTCTTTCAGCATGACAATGATCCCAAGCACACCGCCCGGGCAACGAAGGAGCCAAATTGACCAAATACTTATTTTCCACCATAATTTGCAAATAAATTCATTAAAAATCCTACAATGTGATTTTCTGGAGAAAAAAAATCTCATTTTGTCTGTCATAGTTGACGTGTACCTATGATGAAAATTACAGGCCTCTCTCATCTTTTTAAGTGGGAGAACTTGCACAATTGGTGGCTTACTAAATACTTTTTTTCCCCACTGTATATATATATATATATATATATATATATTGCACACGCACATACTGTACCTCCCGACCTTGACCTTCACTCTGTGAGGGGTGTATCCAGTCACTCTGCTCTCCGCCTCTCTCACGCCCACACAGTTAATCTGCCAGTCTGGGCGAAAACGTGTGTGTGTGTGTGACAGAGAGAGAGGTGGGTGTGGTTCTGCACTATAGATCAGAGGAGGGGTGTGGTTGTCAATAATGAAACAGCGTATTCTGTCAGTCACAGAGGAAAGATGGTGTGTGTATGTCTGTGTGTATGCGTGAACTTTTGTCTGATTTCCTGCTCAGCTATACTGAACATAAATATAAACGCAACATGCAAAGTGTTGGTCCCATGTTTCATGAGATTAAATAAAAGATCCCAGAAATGTTCCATAAGCACAAAAAGCTATTTCTCTCAAATGTTGTGCACAAATATGTTAACATCCCTGTTAGTGAGCATTTCTCCTTTGCCAAGATAATCCATCCACCTGACAGGTGTGGCATATCAAGAAGCTGATTAAACAGCATGATCATTACACAGGTGCACCTTGTGCTGTGGTCAATAAAAGGCCTCTCTAAAATGTGCAGTTTTGTGACACCACACAATGCCACAGGAGTCTCAAGTTTTGAGGGAGCGTGCAATTGGCATGCTGACTGCTGGAATGTCCAACAGAGCTGTTGCCGGTGAATTTAATGTTAATTTCTCTACCATAAGCCTCCTCCAATGTCATTTTTAGATAATTTGGCAGTACATCCAACCGGTCTTACAACCACAAACAATGTGTAATCAAGCCAGCCCAGGACCTGTGGGATCGTCTTGAGACCAGCCATCCGCACAGCTGATGAAACTGAGGAGTATTTATGTCTGTAATAAAGCCCTTTTGTGGGGAAAAACTAATTCTGATTGGCTGGGCCTGGCTCCCCAGTGGGTGGGCCTGGCTCCCAAGTGGGTGGGCCCATGTGAAATCCATAGATTAGTGCCTGATGAATTTATTTCAATTGACTGATTTCCTTATATGAACTGTAACTCAGTAAAATCAGTGAAATTGTTGAATGTTCCGTTTATATTTTTGTTCAGTAGACATATGTCCTGCCTTGCTGCGTCACGCACACATTCATGTACAGTAAGCAGAGAGAGATGCACACATTACCCTCCCACACCTTAACCATAATAAACTAAACACATTCTTCTTTATTAAACATATCTGGTGATTTTTATTTACAACTTATTTGACAGAGGATGTGCCTTACAACTCAGTCATTCGACAGATTTCAACATGTTACAACCAGATACATCAGCAATGTTATTCATAGGCCTAGATGACAGACGACTCAGACATGTCAAATCATTTACCAAAAAGAGAAAAAAGCCAACAGAAATGTGAATGTACTCATCTAAACTTGTGAATAAAAAATACAACATAGTATGATCTTTACAATTGAATATTTTCTGTTGAATTATTAAATATATCTAAATGGTACATATTTAATATAGGTATAGGCCTTTTTACATACACGTTCTTTTGTACAGAGTTTAATGCAATAACAGATCATCGTACACTTATTTCTCTCTTGCTCGCTCGCACCAACGCACACACACACACACACACACACACACACACACACACACACACACACACACACACACACACACACACACACACTTACACTTATGATTTTACAGGTTTATTTTAAATGCCGAAGTTCTTTGGTGTAGAACTCCAACATGGGATGGAACGTTTGATTATGTTGCTGTTGGAAAGCCAACATAGTCTGGATGGGGTGACTAACTGATTGACTGACTGACTGATTTATTGATTATTTAGTTTCATTTATTATCTTTAACGCTTTAACCTCACAGCTAAATCAATGACATCAAAAACAAGTTTTTAGGACAAATATGTTTAGAATGGTATTTGATTGAAGTGGGTAATTTCTTACTTGTAAGAAGCCAATGCATGTGTTTGTGTGTGTGAGAGAGAAATGAGGTTGGGGACTAGAGCAGTGACAGAGAGATAGGATCCTAAGGTTATTGCTCTAAAAACAGAATGACGTAGAGATCTGGAATGACATAGAGACCTCCCCACCAGGCATACTTCCTATCCACACCTTGGTTAGTAGAGTTGGTGGATGGAGGGGGGGGGGGATGGATGGATGGATGGATGCATTTACGTGCTGCTTTCTCATGTCCATGGTTTAGTGTTGACAGATGGGCTGGGAGGTGGATGCATTCAGCTAACTGAATGAGAAAATGTACAAACATCTCAGTGGTTCAGGTGCTAGCTGGACCAAAACAACATAGGCTTCCCACAGTGATTGATTTGGGAGAGTCACACACACATCACTGTGGGAAGCATCAGAGCTGCAGACCTCGTTCCATTTCCCCGCGTGTTCAGCCAGCTCCCATGTTGGGGGTTTGAGAGTGTATGTCTGTAGTGTTCTAGTGAAGAAGGCACTGAGTTGTGAGCGCTGTTGATAATAACACAGTACCTGCCATGCCCAGACTGACAGCCAGCCGTGGTATCCATGGTTACAGTACGCTGTGTTCTACAAGCAGAAGGCTTTAGTTTAGTTTTGAAGTCGCTAGATGATTCTATTATTGTCTCTGTTGATTTTGTTATTTTTACTCCTCCTCCTCCACCTCTTCTCTCAACCTTCAAAGTCTGGTTCATGGTGGGGTTGAAGGGTAAAGAGTGGTTGCCCTTGGTAACAACAGGTTGTAGTTGGTGCAGCGAGGAGTGTCAGTTTCTAGATGGCAAAGCGAGGGGGGTTGTTAAGAGGACTGGGTCCTGGTTTGGGGTAGGAGGGTATTGTCATCCATATAAGCTTGTCTCCCATTTAAACATGGGGTAGGTTTAGGGCTGTAGGGTTAGAGTTGTGTGTGTATGTTGATGCAGTGTGTGTGTGTATGTGTTTTAGGAGCCTATAGGCTGGTCTCTCGCAGGAACATGGTGCCGATGCTGTAGGACACTTTTCTCAGGGGAGCTGGAGGGGCGGAGCGAGAGCTGGTCAGGGAGGCGTGGCTATGGGAAGTCCCTCCCTCCAGGAAGTAGCATGTTCCCGGGATCTCCTTCGGAAAATTATCAGGAAGCTCCAACCGGGAACGAGGGACGAAAGAGAAGGAGCAATCGTCTTTCAGCAGCCTGGAGAGAGGGAAAGAAAGAGAGATTTAAAAACACATGATGTGTGTTATATTTGTCTGCAGAGTGGTATTTGGCTATTTCTCCAAACAGCAGTGACTCTCCAGGGAGTGATGCAGCCTTGTTCAGAATGAGATAAGGCCAATTACAAACCCAGGCATTATTCACAAGCTAAAGGTGTGTGTTTCTGCTGAAGGGGGGTATGTACACACACACACTGATGCACACACACACAAGCAAGCAATCGCACAGTGTGTACATATGCTGAGTCCACAGAGATATTAGCAGAGGAGGCAGAACATACACTGGATTTATTAATCACCTTACACACACACACACACACACTCACCAGGTTGGTTTAAATCTGCAACAATTAGCCCTCTTTGTGTCGTGCGAATAATTTGTGATTCTGAGGAGAGAATGTCCTTGACTGCAAAAATAGAGATGTTTCCAAGGCAACGCTTTGGCTCACTGACTCACAGAAGGGACACCAGAGAGAGAGAGAGAGAGAGAGAGAGAGAGAGAGAGAGAGAGAGAGAGAGAGAGAGAGAGAGAGAGAGAGAACACTAAGCTCTCGGCTCAAAGTGCCTCCACAGGCAGCATTTGACTCAACATCAAAGTCACTGTGTGTGTGTGCGTGCACGTGTGTCTGTGCTTGCCTGTGTGCTTGCGGGCGTGTGTTTATGACGTATCACAAATGCAGTTGACTGGACGTGACTGTTTCTTACTCAAATGTCCTTAGAGACTGAAAGCTGCTATATTGCCATTCATTCTGACCCCCCACACCCACACCCACCACACCACACACACCACCACACACACACACACACACACCACAACACCACACAAACAGGTGTACTCACTGGTATGTGGTTGGGCTGATGTTGATGCATCGAGGGTGGCTCCCAGACTCAAACTTGCTGGCCAGTGTGACGTTGTTGCCGAACAGACAGTACCTGGGCATCCTCACCCCGACCACCCCCGCCAACACTGAGCCTGTATGGATACCTATACGCAGCTGAAGGACGGAAAGAGGGACGGAGAGAGGGACGGAGAGAGGGACGGAGAGTAGAGGTAGAAGCAGAGAGAGAGAGAGAGAGATGTCAGTTGAACACTGACCAGTGAGTAGAAGGATTACTTTATCCTATCCCAGGTATTCCTTAGCGTGAAAAACCCAGCAGCGTTGCAATCCATGTCTTAATTGTCTCAAGGCTTAAACATCCTTCTTTAACCTGTCTTCTCCCCTTCATCTACACTGATTGAAATGGATTTAACAGGTGACATCAATAAGGGAGCATAGCTTTCACCTGGATTCACCTGGTCAGTCTATGTCATGGAAAGAGCAGGTGTAATTAGAAGTATATTATTATAGCTGTGATTTAAATTTGATCATCGCACTTCAAAGCCACACAACACAAACCCACAAACATATAATCTCTAATGATCCACTTCAGTATCTCATCTCCACGGTTACTAACGGCACTGAGCACATGCCAGCACACCAATGTGGGTTACCTTGGCAATGAGAGAGAGAGAGCGAGGAGAACGTGAGGGCAAAGGTCTGATCACACTGCCATAGTGATGGACAGATTGGTATTGGTTAGTTCTGATCACACTGCCATAGAGATGGACAGATTGGTATTGGCTAGTTCTGATCACACTGCCATAGAGATGGACAGATTGGTATTGGCTAGTTCTGATCACACTACCATAGAGATGGACAGATTGGTATTGGCTAGTTCTGATCACACTACCATAGAGATGGACAGATTGGTATTGGCTAGTTCTGGTCACACTGCCATAGAGATGGACAGATTGCCAGATGTTATGAGGAAAGAGTGAGTGGAGAGAGTGATAGAGATGGAGAAGGAGAGACAAGTTAAGGTGTTGTATTTTGATCTTTCTCCCGAGTGGGGCAGTGGTCTAAGGCACTGCATCGCAGTGCTAGCTGTGCCACTAGAGATCCTGGTTCGAATCCAGGCTCTGTCGTAGCCGGCCGTGACCGGGAGACCCATGGGGCGGCGCGGGTAGGGGAGGGAATGGCTGGCAGGGACGTTGGTAGAGCATGGCGTTTGCAACGCCAGGGTTGTGGGTTCGTTTCCCACGGGGGGCCAGTATGAAAAATATAAAAATAATGTATGCACTCACTAACTGTAAGTCGCTCTGGATAAGAGCGTCTGCTAAATGACTAAAATGCAATGTAAATGTTGTACAAATGGACCCCCTCTCCCCTCTTCTTGCTACTGTCACCACTGGTCCCCTCTACCTAGTCCAAAAGTCTAACAAATCTGTAAACTACGCAAGAACCTATACAAATATAATGTCCCCCTACCCCTTTGTCGATCTCTTACCTCTCATATTATTGCTACTGGTACACTCTCCAATACTTTTCTCTGTCCCCACTCTCCACTCGTACTGTCCCCCTCTCTTAGTGTCCCCCTTCCCCTCGTCTTGTCCCCCTCTCTTCCTCTCTCTGTCCCCCTCTCCCCTCTCTCTGTCCCCCTCTCCCCTCTTTCTGTCCCCCTCTCCCCTCTCTCTTTCTCTGTTCCCTCTCTCCCCTCTCTATTTCTCAGTCCCCCCTCTCCCCACTCCTACTTTATCCCCCCTCCCATCTATCTCTCACTCTTCTGTGAGTCAGCACAGAGTCGGAACAGACCAATCAAAACACACTGCAGTTCTGAAGCAGCCAATTCCAACCGACAGCTATGAGGTATGAGGTACCCCCCCCCCCCCCCCTCTCTTTCTATCTCATAGACTAGTTTACATAACACAGTGGTATTGGCTAGTTGTGAGCATGCTGACTGAAGAGCATTTATCCGGCTGAAGTGGTTTGAACGAGCAGAGCATCTCTCCTCTTATCCTCTGAGCAAGGGAACGAAGAATGAGAAAGAAAGAGAGAGAGAAAGAGAGAGAGACAGAGAGAGGGAGACAGAGAGAGAGAGACAGAGAGAGACAGAGAGACAGAGAGAGAGAGAGAGAGACAGAGACAGCGAGACAGAGAACAGGGCTACAGGGCATAGCTATGCCAGTCTATTTCTGGAACAATGGCCGGTGAATTAATCACAACTATAGGCCACAAACACACACGCACACAAGCACAGACACACACCAGACACATGCACACACGCACACACAGACGCATAGCTACACGCATGCACACACACACACACATGCACACACACCAGACACATGCACTCACATGCACAGACTGATACAGGCATACACATGCATGGCCACATGCATGCACACACACAACATTAGAATTGTGTAGTTGCCGTTTTTAAGGACTAAAGGACTCTCTCTCTCTCTCTCTCTCTGTCTGAAACATCCTCTTCGCAGGGCATCAGAGTTAGAATTAATAGAGAGATGAATTAATCACGCAGCTCTACAGACAGATAGTTAGTTTAAACAGAGCTAGGTTCCTTCTAGACGACCAGCAGAGCATAGCAGAGCTCTCCTACAGGAGCCTGGTTTGAGCCAGGACATACAGAATTTGGAAAATATTCAGACCCCTTGACTTTTTCCACAATTTGTTACGTTACAGCTTTATTCTAAAATTGATTTCTCTCATCAATCTACACACAATACCCAATAATGACAAAGCGAAAACAGGTTTTTAGAAATGTGTGCAAATTTATTAAAAATTAAAAACAGAAATACCTTATTTACATAAGTATTCAGACCCTTTGCTATAAGACTCAAAATTGAGCTCAGGTGCATCCTGTTTCCATTGACAATTCTTGAGATGTTTCTACAACTTGATTGGAGTCCACCTGTGGTAAATTAAATTGATTGGACATTATTTGGAAAGGCACACACCTGTATATATAAGGTCCCATAGTTGACAGTGCATGTCAGAGCAAAAACCAAGCCATGAGGTCAAAGGAATTGTCCATAGAGCTCCGAGACAGGAATTGTCGAGGCACAAATCTGGGGAAGGGTACCCAAAAATGTCTGCAGCATTGAAGGAGTTTGGAGTTTGCCAAAAGGCACCTAAAGGACTCTCAGATCATGATAAACAATATTCTCTGATATGATGAAACCAAGATTGAACTCTTTGGCCTGAATGACAAGTGTCACGTCTGGAGGAAACCTGGCACCATCCCTACGGTGAAGCATGGTGTTGGCAGCATCATGCTGTGGGGATGTTTTTCAGTGGCAGGGACTGGGAGACTAGTCAGGATCGAGGGAAAGATTAACGGAGCAAAGTACAGAAAGAACCTTGATGAAAACCTGCTCCAGAGTGCTCAGGACCTCAGACTGGGACGAAGGTTCACCTTCCAACAGGACAATCACCCTAAGCACACAGTCAAGACAACGTAGGAGTGGCTTCGGGACAAGTCTCTGAATGTCCTTGAGTGGCCCAGCCAGAGCCCGGACTTGAACCCGATCGAACATCTCTGGAGAGACCTGAAAATAGTTGTGCAGTGACGCTCCCCATCCAACCTGACAGAGCTTGAGAGGATCTGTAGAGAAGAATGGGAGAAACTCCCCAAATACAGGTGTGCCAAGCTTGTAGCGTCATACCCAAACAGACTTGAGGATGTAATCGCTGCCAAAGGTGCTTCAACAAAGTACTGAGGAAAGGGTCTGAATACTTATGTAAATGTGATATTTCAGTATTTTTCTTTTTGCAAAAAAATCTAACAACCTGTTTTTGCTTTGTCATTATGGTGTATTGTATGTAGATTAATGAGGGGGGAAAAAACAATTTAATCCATTTTAGAACGAGGCTGTAACGTAACAAAATGTGGAAAAGGTCAAGGGGTCAGAATACTTTCTGAATGCACTGTATCCAGCTCACCACATAGCTACAGACAGTGACGACCAAAATGATTGGCACCCTTGATAAAGATGAGCAAAAAAGACTCTATAATATAAATAATACAAATACTGAGCTATATTGTATGGTCAAAAGTGCTACATTATATTGTTTTATACAAAGACAATTTTCTTTAACAATTAATACTTTTTTCTCTCAAAAGGATAGGGGTTAAAATAATTGAAACCACATTTTTCTCTGAGTAATTGTATCAGTTAAAAATTATATAATTTTCCCATGCTCAGTATTTGTATTATTTATTTTATAGAGTCTTTTTTACTCATCTATATCAAGGGTGCCAATAATTTTGGTCGTGACTGTACATGTGATCCCCAGCACCCTTGTTGTCATGCCAATGGAGAGAGACAGAGGTTGCGTGAGGTTGGTTATTTTTATTGCTGGTTGCCATAAGTAGAAGGTTTAGGTGGAAGCATGCTAAAAACAACCTGGAGCTCTGAGCCAACACACACACACACACACACACACACACACACACACACACACACACACACACCACACACACACACACCCACACCCACACCCCCACACCCACACCCACACCCACACACAAACACCATGTTTTGTATTGTCAGTGTTGACTCTGGGACAGTGTTATTGGCCAACTGACACAGACAGCTGGATGTAAGAGAAAAGGGCCTCTACCTGTGGAGATGGGAGAAAGACTGCCTGAATGTGAGTTTCTCTCTAACCTAACACAACACAGCCCAACACAAAGCTCAAGTATTTCCTGTAAGACACGAAACAACAAAAACAGCCCCTGCTGCCACGTCACATTCTCCCATCACCATGGCAACTGCACACTACATGTTCTATCCATCACGTGACGATCGGTGTGTTCACAATAAGTCAATTACACACATGCGTTCAGTGATCACACACTGTTGAGCATAAATACGCACCCGGACATCCACAAACACCCATTTATTGTACACACACACACAACAACAAAAACACAAACCCATTGTAGTGTCCGTCCGTGTGTGTATGTGTGTGTGTCTGTGCATGTGTGTGCGTGTGTGTTGTGTGTGCATGTGAGCGTGTGCTCTCTTCCTTGTGAAGAGACATTTAATCTCATCAATCGTCATTAAAGGGGATGATGATGGGCTCCATTGTCAGCATCCACAGCTGGTTAAGCACTTCCTTCCCAATGGGCCACGACACAGATGATTATATCAACACACGCACATCTGGGACTGTCAGCCAATGGGAGAGAAGCAGCTAGCACGACACAACACAGCAAACATACACAACGCAGCAAGCACGACACAACACAACACAGCTAGCACGACCCAACAGAGCTAGCACGACACAACACAACACAGCTAGCACGACACAACACAGCAAGCACAACATAACCAACACAACACAACACAGCTAGCATGACACAACACAGCTAGCACAACACAACACAGCAAGCACTACACAATACAGCTAGCACAACACAACACAGCTAGCACGACACAACACAGCTAGCACAACATAGCACAGCTAGCACAACACAACACAGCACAGCTAGCACAACACAACACAGCAAGCACAACACAACACAGCTAGCACAACACAGCACAAGACAGCTTGTACAACACAGCACAACATAGCTAGCACAACAGAGCTAGCACAACACTGCTAGCACAACATAACATAGCTAGCACAACACAGAACAACACAACACAGCTAGCATAACACAACACAGCACAGCTAGCACAACATAACACAGCTAGCACAACACAGCACAGCAGAGCTAGCACAACACAACACAGCTATCACAACATAACACAGCTAGCACAACACAACACAGCTATCACAACATAACACAGCTAGCACAACACAACACAGCTAGCACAACACATCACAGCTAGCACAACACAACACAGCTAGCACAACACAGCACAACACAGCTAATACAGCACAACACAGCTAGCACAACACAGCCAGCACAACACAGCTAGTATAACACAACACAACACAGCTAGCAACACAGCACAACACAGCTAGCACAACACAGCACAACACAGCTAGCACAACATAACACAGCTAGCACAACACAGCTAGTACAACACAGCACAACACAGCTGGCACAACACATCTAGTACAACACAGCTAGCACAACACAGCTAGCACAACACAACACAACTAGCACAACATAACACAGATAACACAGCACAGCTAGCAAAACATAACACAGCTAGCACAACACAGCATAGCTAGCAAAACATAACACAGCTAGCACAACACAACACAGCTAGCACAGCTCAACACAACACAGCTAGCACAACACAGCTAGTACAACACAGCACAACACAGCTAGCACAACACAGCTAGCACAGCACAGCACAGCACAGCTAGCACAACACAGCTAGCACAACCCAACACAGCTAGCACAACACAGCTAGTACAACACAGCACAACACAGCTAGTACAACACAGCACAACACAGCTAGCACAACAAAGCTAGCACAACACTGCTAGCACAACACAGCACAGCTAGCACAACACAGCACAACACAGCTAACACAGCACAACACAGCCAGCACAAAACAGCTAGTACAACACAACAAAACACAGCTAGCACAACACAGCACAGCTAGCACAACACAGATAGCACAACACAGCTAGCACAACACAACACAACACAGCTAGCACAACACAACACAGCTAGCACAACATAACACAGCTAGCACGACACAACACAGCTAGCACAACACAGCTAGTACAACACAGCACAGCTAGCACAACACAGCTAGCACAACTCAAAACAGCACAGCTAGCACAACACAACACAGCTAGCACAACATAACACAGCTAGCACGATACAACACAGCTAGCACGACACAACACAACACAACACAGCTAGCACGACACAACACAGATAGCACGACACAACACAGCTAGCACAACACAACACAGCTAGCACGACACAACACAGCTAGCACGACATAACACAGCTAGCACAACATAACACAGCTAGCACAACATAACACAGCTAGCACAACACAACACAGCACAGCACAGCTAGCACAACACAACACAGCAAGCATGACATAACACAACACAGCTAGCACGACCCAACAAAGCTAGTATGACACAACACAGCTAGCACGACACAGCACAACACATCTAGCACAACATAACACAGCTAGCACAACTCAACACAACACAGCTAGCATAACACAGCACAACACAGCTAGCACAACATAACACAACACATCTAGCACAACACAGCACAACACAGCTAGCACAACAAAGCTAGCACAACACAGCTAGCACAACACAGCACAGCTAGCACAACACAGCACAACACAGCTAACACAGCACAACACAGCTAGCACAACACAGCCAGCACAACACATCCAGTACAACACAACACAACATAGCAAGCACAACACAACAGAGCTAGCACAACACAGCTAGCACAACACAGCACAACACAGCTAGCACAACATAACACAACACAGGTAGCACAACATAACATAGCTAGCACAACACAGCTAGCACAAAACACAACACAACACAGCTAGCACAACACAGCTAGTACAACACAGCTAGCACAACACAACACAGCATAGCTAACACAACACAACACAGCTAGCACAACATAACACAGTTAGCACAACATAACACAGCTAGCACAACATAACACAGCACAGCTAGCACAACACAACACTGCTAGCACAACACAGCTAGCAAAACATAACACAGCTAGCACGACACAACACAGCTAGCACAACGCAACACAACACAGCTAGCACGACACAACACAGCTAGCACAACACAGCACAACACAGCTAGCACAACACAGCTAGTACAACACAGCACAACACAGCTAGTACAACACAGCACGTACAACACAGCACAACAGAGCTAGCACAACACAGCTAGCACAACACAAAACAGCACAGCTAGCACAACACAACACAGCTAGCACAACATAACAGTTAGCACAACATAACACAGCTAGCACAACACAACACAGCACAGCTAGCGCAACACAACACAGCTAGCACAACATAGCACAGCTAGCAAAACATAGCACAGCTAGCACAACACAGCAAAACACAGCTAGCACAACACAGCACAACACAGCTAGCACAACACAGCACAACACAGCTAGTACAACACAGCACAACACAGCTAGCACAACACAGCTAGCGCAACACAAAACAGCACAGCTAGCACAACACAACACAGCTAGCACAACATAACACAGCTAGCACAACATTACTCAGCTAGCATGACACAACACAGCTAGCACAACAAAACACAACACAACACAACTAACACAACACAGCTAGCACGACACAACATAGCTAGCACAACATAACACAGTTAGCACAACATAACACAGCTAGCACAACACAGCAAGCAAGCACGACACAACACAACACAGCTAGCACGACACAACACAGCTAGCACAACACAACACAGCTAGCACAACACAACACAGCACAGCTAGCACAACACAACAAGCACAACACAACACAACATAGCTAGCACAACATAGCTAGCACGACACAACACAGCTAGCACAACATAACACAGCTAGCACAACACAGCACAACACAGCTAGCATAACACAACACAGCACAGCTAGCACAACATAACACAGTTAGCACAACACAACATAGCACAGCTAGCACAACAACACAGCTAGCACAACATAACACAGCAAGCACAACACAACACAGCTAGCACAACACAGCTTGTACAACACAACACAGCTAGCACAACACAGCTTGTACAACACAACATAGCTAGCACAGCACAGCTAGCACAACATAACACAGCTAGTACAACATAACACAGCTAGCACAACACAACACAGCTAGCACAATTGCATATTTCTGTTAGGGAATGCATCCTCTGTGAAGTGCGCGTGCGCACAAACTCAATTCGACCTTGCACTCCTTCTAAGAAATGCAATTGTTTTAAAACTTTGGCAAAGCATTAAGTCTCTAAAACTTAGTGCACTGTGTTCATAATGGATTCTAGTTTTGGAACAGAAACATTAATTGAGATCAGATGTTTCATCGATGAGAACGTCGGCCCAGTTTCACCTAGTTCCATCCTCTCCCACTACCCGCGACTGGACTTCCTCTCACTACCATATTTGGTGGTGAGAAAACGTTCTAAAGGGGTGTTTCAGCTTTATAGCCCCTGTGACGTGTCTGGGGTACCCCTTCTGTCTTTGGCACAACACAGCACCGCACTGATAAGCTTATGGATGCTTTAAATTCGAGGTGTAAACCACATATACATTTGAATGAGAAGAGAGACAGACAGAGTAGGAGGAGAGGGTGAAAGGGAGAGAGAGAGAGAGAGAGAGAGAGAGAAAGAAAGAGGAAGAGAGAGAAAGAGAGGGGGAGTGAAAAGGGAGAGAGAAAAGATGACAGAAAAAGAGAGTGAGGGAGAAAGAGGCCAACCCCTCTCCTGTGCCAAGCGAAGACTCACCTTGATGGATTTGCCGTCCGGCGTTAACACCTCTTCTGACAGCTCCATCATCTTCAGGGCCATGAGTGCGATTGGCTTGGCATGGCTGTCAATCTTCCGGTGGAGCCCGCCCGCAACACAGTAGGCGTCGCCTATGGTCTCAATCTATATGGGGATTGGAGAAGAGTCCATGAAACCATGAGCATTTCATTTGATTTGACTTCCATACTTTTTTTTTTCTGACAGGGTTATTGGCTGAATTAAAATAAACACTCAGACAAGCTGTACCTCACAACAAGAAACACAACTCTCATTTTCAGCCAGTCACAGTCATTTATCCAGAGTAACCATGATAATGGGAACATACGGGTCTCTCTCTCCTCCTGGCTCCTCTCTCCCCCTCTCTCCTCACATGGAGCAGGAAAAGAGAGGGGGAGAGTAGAAAGTGGAGACGAGAGAAAATGGAAGTAGAAAGAGAGAAGGGGAAGAGTCAAGTAAAAAAGAGGAAGTGTCACGATCGTCGTAGGGAATAGACCAAGGCGCAGCGTGATGAACGAACATGTTTAAACTTTATTATCTTTAGTGATAATAGACAACAATAAACAAAACAAGAAACGACTCGTGAAGTCCACGGTAACAATGACCAACACGGAACAAGAACCCACAAACACAAAGGGAAAACAGACAGTTTAAATATGGCTCCCAATCAGAGACAACCAACGACAGCTGACACTCGTTGCCTCTGATTGGGAGTCACTCTGGCCAACATAGAAATAAACACAACAGAAAGAACACACCCTGGCTCAACATATAGAGTCCCAGAGCCAGGGTGTGACAGGAAGGGTGAAGAGAGAGGAAGGTTGAGGAGAGAGGAAGGGTGAGGAGAGAGGAAGGGTGAGGAGAGAGGAAGGAAGGGAAAGAGCTGTATCTGTGCTGACTCAAACCCTGGCGAAGGACGAGAAATGATGTAGTGCTAGATGGATGGAGGGATGGATAGAGGGAGTGATGGTTGTTACTGGGCCTTGCTGTAATGCCACTGTCAGGCAGCCAGTATTGACACACTGTTGTTAAGCACCGTTGCATTAGCCATTAATCAGTGTGTTTTTCCACCCAACACACACAGTGCTGATATAAAACACAACTTGATTGGTCCTTGTATTTACCCATGGCAGCACCATTACTCAATTGCACTAAACCCCTCCTATGTGGACAGGTGAGACGTATCAGGATTGGAGTCAATTCAGAATTTCAGAATTTAATCAAATTCCAACAATTAATTTGAATTGAATTTGAATTGGCCACACTCCACAGGAAGCATATTTTGAAATTGAAAAAAAACATATTTTTCATGTGAAACATGAAAGTCTCATTCATTCATTTGACAAATATTTTATAAAAAGAATATGCCACTAATTAATGCAAAGAATACACATACCATTCGAAATATTAGTTTTATTTTAACTCAAAGATGTCAAACAGTTTGATCTAATGCATTATGGGAAAACATTTTGTTTCTGGTATTTAAAAAACATTTAAGGGAATTATTAATTATTATAGACAACCCACAACATGATCTTAGAATATTTCCAGACCACTGTAATTATTTTAAAATGTTTTAGGAGAATGAGTTTTAAAGAAGAAATGTTATATGGTATTGGTCATATAAATGTTGCTATGGTAACGTGTAGAATAAATAAGGCATTAGAATTTCATTTAATTAAATTATTCTTCCTTTAATTCAAATGCAATTCAAATTCTGCTTCCTGTGGGGTGTGGCCAATTCAAATTCAATTCAAATACAATAATTTAATTGGAATTAAAGAGCAATTTGCAACTCAATTCAGAATCGACCCAAACCCTGACATGTATAACAGTGTACAGTCGTGGTCAAAAGTTTTGAGAATGACACAAGTATTGGTCTTCACAAAGTTCGCTGCTTCAGTGTTATGAGATATTTTTGTCAGATGTTACTATGGTATACTGAAGTATAATTACAAGCATTCCATAAGTCTCAAAGGCTTTTATTGACAATTACATTAAGTTTATGCAAAGAGTCAATATTTGCAGTGTTGACCCTTCTTTTTCAAGACCTCTGCAATCCGCCCTGGCATGCTGTCAATTAACTTCTGGGCCACATCCTGACTGATGGCAGCCCATTCTTGCATAATCAATGCTTGGAGTTTGTCAGAATTTATGGGGTTTTGTTTGTCCACCCGCCTCTTGAGGATCGACCACAACTTCTCAATGGGATTAAGGTCTGGGGAGTTTCCTGGCCATGGACCCATAATTTCGATGTTTTGTTCCCCAAGCCACTTAGTTATCACTTTTGCCTTATGGCAAGGTGCTCCATCATGCTGGAAAAGGCATTGGTCATCACCAAACTGTTCTTGGATGGTTGGGAGAAGTTGCTCTCGGAGGATGTGTTGGTACCATTCTTTATTCATGGCTGTGTTCTTAGGCAAGAATGTGAGAGAGCCCACTCCCTTGGCTGAGAAGCATCCCCACACATGAATGGTCTCAGGATGCTTTACTGTTGGCAAGACACAGGACTGATGGTAGCGCTCACCTTGTCTTCTCCGGACAAGGTGTTTTCCGGATGCCCCAAACAATCGGAAAGGGGATTCATCAGAGAAAATGACTTTACCCCAGTCCTCAGCAGTCCAATCCCTGTACCTTCTGCAGAATATCAGTCTGTCCCTGATGTTTTTCCTGGAGAGAAGTGGCTTCTTTGCTGCCCTTCTTGACACCAGGCCATCCTCCAAAAGTATTCACCTCACTGTGCGTGCAGATGCACTCACACCTGCCTGCTACCATTCCTGAGCAAGCTCTTCACTAGTGGTGCCCTGATCCCGCAGCTGAATCAACTTTAGGAGACGGTCCTGGCGCTTGCTGGACTTTCTTGGGCGTCCTGACGCCTTCTTCACAACAATTGAACCTCTCTCCTTGAAGTTCTTGATGATCCGATAAATGGTTGATTTAGGTACAATCTTACTAGCAGCAATATCCTTGCCTGTGAAGCCCTTTTTGTGCAAAGCAATGATGACGGCACGTGTTTCCTTGCAGGTAACCATGGTTAACAGAGGAAGAACAATGATTTCAAGCACCACCCTCCTTTTAAAGCTTCCAGTCTGTTATTCTAACTCAATCAGCATGACAGAGTGATCTCCAGCCTTGTCCTCGTCAACACTCTCATCTGTGTTAACGAGAGAATCACTGACATGATGGCAGCTGGTCCTTTTGTGGCAGGGCTGAAATGCAGTGGAAATGTTTTTGGGGGATTAAGTTCATTTTTATGGCAAAGAAGGACTTTGCAATTAATTGCAATTCATCTGATCACTCTTCATGACATTCTGGAGTTTATGCAAATTGCCATCATGAAAACTGAGGCAGCAGACTTTGTGAAAATTAGCATTTGTGTCATTCTCAAAACGTTTGACCACGACTGTACAGTATGTGACGTGCAAACCGGTGTGTGTTCCTACCTTATACACGTCCAGTATTCCACACTGGTAGTCGAAGCGTGTGTAGAGCTCGTTGAGCATGCTGATGACCTGCATGGGAGTACACTGGGCACACACTGCCGTGAAGCCCACGATGTCAGAGAACAGCATGGTGACATCATCAAACTTCCTGGCGGGGACAGACTGCCCCTGCCACAGCTTCTGGGCCACGTCACCAGGAAAGATGGAGTAGAGAAGGTCTACTGTCCTCCTCTTCTCCTCTTCTAGAGCTTGGTGTGTCTTTTCTAGAGTGGCCTAGGGAAGAGCAGAGGGATAGAATTACAATGAGTAGAATGGGGATGATGGAGTAAAGGTTTAGTGACCGACGCATTTCCCCTTCTTCTAAAGCCGGATGAGTCCGCTGCTGAATGTCTACATGACAGAATAATAAGTATGAGAACGCGTGTGTGTGTGACCGTGTGTGTGTGACCGTATGCATGTGTGACCGTGTGTGTGTGTGTGTGACTTTGCATGTGTGTGTGACTGTACCTTGAGTTTGTCCATCCTGTTCTTGAGGCCGTCCTGTGCCTTGGCCTGCTGTCCCACCAGTATGACATCACGCGTGGCGTCGTGGATGGGGATGTCTGACAGGTAGAGGCCCCTTCCCATCAGCTCCTCCAGCTTGTCCACCCGGGGGGAACCCAGGAACATCAGAGTAGAGGATTCTGGGACATGAATCATCTGACCCTTCACCTCCATCACCTGGCAAAGAGAGAGAGAGAGAGAGAGAGAACAAGAGAGAGAAAGCGAGAGAGAGAGAGGGGGGCAGAAGACAGGGAGAGTGGTTATTCATGCGATAAAGAGATCAATGGAACACAGATCGTGGGAAATACAGTGCCTTCAGAAGATATTCACACTCCTTGACTTTTTCCACATTTTGTTGTGTTACAAAGTGGTATTAAAATGATCTACACCAAATATTCTAATGTCAAAGTGGAAAGAAAATATGAAAAATACAACACTACTATATCATGATTAGATAAGTATTCAACCTCCTGAGTCAATACATGTTAGAATGACCTTTGGCAGCGATTACAGCTGTGATTCTTTCTGGGTAAGTCTCTAAGCGCTTTCCACACCTGGATTGTGCAACATTGGCCCATTATTATTTTCAAAAATGTTCAACCTCTGTTGGTTGTTGATCATTGCTAGACAACCATTTTCAGGTCTTGCCATATATTTTCAAGAAGATTTAAGTCAAAACTGTAACTCGGCCACTCAGGAACATTCACTGTCTTCTTAGTAAACAACGCCAGTGTAGATTTGGCCTTGTGGTTTAGGTTATTGTCCTGCTAAAAGGTGAATTCATCTCCCAGTGTCTGGTGGAAAGCAGACTGAACCAGGTTTTCCTCTAGGATTTTGCCTGTGCTTAGCTCCATTACGTTTCTTTTTTATCCTGAAAAACTCCCCAGTCCTTAACGATTACAAGCATACCCATAACATGATGCAGCCACCACTATGCTTGAAAATATGAAGAGTGTTACTCAGTAATGTGTTGTATTGGATTTGCCCCAAACATAACACTTTGTATTCAGGACAAAAAGTTAATTGCTATGCCACATTTTTTGCAGTATTACTTTAGTGCCTTGTTGCAAACAGGATGCATGCTTTTGAATATTTTTTATTCTGCACAGGCTTCCTTCTTTTCACTCTGTCAATTAGGTTAGTATTGTGGAGTAACTACAATGGTGTGTAGCCATCCTTAGTTTTCTACTATCACAGCCATTAAACTCTGTAACTGTTTTAATGTCACCATTGGCTTCATGGTGAAATCCCTGTGCGTTTTCCTTCCTCTCCGGCAACTGAGTTAAGAAGGACGCCTGTATCTTTGTAGTGACTGGGTGTATTGATACACCATCCAAAGTGTAATTAATAACCTCACCATGCTCAAAGGGATATTCAATGTCTGCTTTTTTTTTTTTACCCATCTACCAATAGGTGCCCTTCCTTGCGAGGCATTGGAAAACCTCCCTCTGATTCAGAGGGGTTGGGTTAAATGCGGAAGACACATTTCGGTTTAATGCATTCAGTTGTGTAACTGACTAGGCCTCCCCATCTCCCTCTCCTTGGTCTTTGTGGTTGAATCTGTGTTTGTAATTCACTGCTCGACTGAGGGACCTTACAGATAATTGTATGTGTGGGGTACAGAGATGAGGTAGTCATTCAAAAATCATGTTAAACACTATTATTGCACACAGAGTGAGAGTCCATTGAACTTATTATGTGACTTGTTATGCACATTTTTACTCCAGAACTTATTTATGCATGCCATAAAAAAGGGGTTGAATACTTATTGACTCGAGACATTTCAGCTTTGTTTAAAAAAAAGAAAATATATATCAAAAAAAAATTTGCCACCTTGATATTATGGAATGTGTGTAGGCCAGTGACAATTTTAAAAAAAATGTAATCAATTTTAAATTCAGGCTGTAACACAACAAAATGTGGAAAAAGTAAAGGGGTGTGAATACTTTCTGAAGGCCCTGTAGAAAGAAGGAAGCCATCATTGGCACCAATGTGGTTACCGAAATCCGAATCGGCTATACATTTTACATTTAGCAGACACTCTTATCCAGAGCGACTTCCAATTAGTGCATACATTATTTTATTTATTATTTTTTCATACCCCCCCCCGTGGGAAACGAACCCACAACCCTGGCGTTGCAAACGCCATGCTCTACCAACTGAGCTACATCCCTGCCGGCCATTCCCTCCCCTACCCTGGACGAATTGTGCGCCGCCCCATGGGTCTCCCGGTCGCGGCCGGCTACGACAGAGCCTGGATTCAAACCAGGATCTCTAGTGGCACAGCTAGCACTGCGATGCAGTGCCTTAGACCACTGCGCCACTCGGGAGGCTGACTATATTTGTATAATATTTTGAAGTTGTCCTTTTCGGGTTTGGAAAAATGCCTGCTAAATGCTAACTCCCTTTCGAAAAAGCTGGTAGCATAGCTAGCATATAGAAATTGGTGGTGGTAGTCAAAGTTTTTTAAGTGTATTGCAGTTTATTGATGAAGATGACATGAACATATATTGGGGTTGACATCCATACAAGCATGATACTCAGATTTTTACCTCAACATAGTGTGAAATACACATATAAACAATAGCTTAAATTTAGGATCATGTTGATGGGCGGCAATGAGGAGATTCTAGATCTATCCGCCACGGAGGGACGCGTGCGTGGCGTTTCCATTACCTGATCTATAGAGACAACCATTGAGAGACTATCCAGAAACGTTAAGAGGATGTAGTCCAAACACAACAATGGCCTCCTGTTTTTAGAAGACCCTAATCCCCACAATGGGGATGTAGTGCTGCACATTGCAACATCATCTAGGCAACAAATGAGATGTCCTTCACCCATTCTCCCATACACACCAGTTCAAGAGAACACTGGCCCTGCAGTAATAAGTCCAGCTGTATTCTATAGACAATACAGGATTAAATGGAAATGTGTTCAGGATTGAAAACATCTCTCTGGCTCTCAGCTCTGAAAGAAATCAGGTTAGTCTGCTACTGTATCTGTAGTCTGCTACTGTATCTGTAGTCTGCTACTGTATCTGTAGCCTGCTACTGTATCTGTAGTCTGCTACTGTATCTGTAGTCTGCTACTGTATCTGTAGTATTCTACTGTATCTATAGCCTGCTACTGTATCTGTAGCCTGCTACTGTATCTGTAGTCTGCTACTGTATCTGTAGTCTTCTACTGTATCTATAGCCTGCTACTGTATCTGTAGCCTGCTACTGTATCTGTGGTCTTCTACTGTATCTGTAGCCTGCTACTGTATCTGTGGTCTTCTACTGTATCTGTAGCCTGCTACTGTATCTGTAGTCTGCTACTGTATCTGTAGCCTGCTACTGTATCTGTAGCCTCCTACTGTATCTGTAGTCTTCTACTGTATCTATAGCCTGCTACTGTATCTGTAGTCTTCTACTGTATCTGTAGCCTGCTACTGTATCTGTGGTCTTCTACTGTATCTGTAGTCCTGCTACTGTATCTGTAGTCTGCTACTCTGTAGCCTGCTACTGTATCTGTACCTCCTACTGTAAACGTAGTTTTTCTACTGTATCTCTACCTCTACTGTATCTGTAGCTGCTACTGTATCTGTATCTCTACGTATCTGTATTTCACTGTATCTATAGCCGCTCGTATCGTACCTGCTACTTCTGTAGTCGCTACTGATCGTAGTCCTACTGTATCTGTTCTTCTACGTATCTATAGCCTGCTACTGTATCTGTAGCCTGCTACTGTATCTGTGGTCTTCTACTGTATCTGTAGCCTGCTACTGTATCTGTGGTCTTCTACTGTATCTGTAGCCTGCTACTGTATCTTAGTCTGCTACTGTACTGTAGTCTGCTACTGTATCTGTAGCCTGCTACTTATCTGTAGCCTCCTACGTATCGTAGTCTTCTACTGTATCTATAGCCGCTACTGTATCTGTAGTCTTCTACTGTATCTGTAGTCTGCTACTGTATCTGTAGTCTTCTACTGTATCTCTAGTCTGCTACTGTATCTGTAGTCTGCTACTGGTGGAATACAAGAACGTATGAACAACATTCTCACCCAAGAAGAATAACCAAACAATAAAGGGTTAACCCACCCCCTGAGTTTACACACAAGTGCAATGGCAGCACTTTGACCAGAAGTGAAAGCTACATATTGTTATTTTAACCTGGGGAAGCCAGGTCTCTCTCAGGTTCCAGGCCTGGTCTAAGATCCTAGCATCCTCTCTCTCTCTCTCTCTCTCTCTCTCTCTCCTCTCTCTCTCTCTCTCTCTCTCTCTCTCTCTCTCTCTCTCTCTCAGTTTTTCTCTCTCCCTCCTTCTGTCTTTCTCTCTCTTCCTCTGTTTCTCTCTCTCTCTCTCTCCCTGGTGTCAGATAGATTATTCCGCCTGTGAGCCCACTGCAGCCCACTGCAGGCTGATTTATTTATAGAATCCTCCCCCTAGCTCTGCATAATGCATACAACCTACATCTACAGAGAGCTAACACACACACTACCTACATATAGTCTATAGAGAGACAGAGCACTGCACACACACTTAGCTACAGAAAGTAGACACATACACACACATACACATATATACAGTGTTTATTGTGGGAGGATGTGAACAGCTGTTTTCTGTGGTTGTGGCGGGCAGAGTGGGAGGAGTCACATGGTTGACACACTAATGGGAACCTCGATTGGAGACGACAGGAATACAAGGAACGCTGGCACTCCGGAAAACCAAGCGACTGTATCTCGGAAAACTAACATCAAACTTAACAGAACGCTTACACACACACACATTCATATACACACACATACAAGTATGCATGCATAGACACACACACACACACACACACACACACAGTTACACACACAACCACTAATACACACACACACAAACTCACACATGCACACACAAAACCACTAATACACACACGCAAATGCACTGACCTACGTATGGAAAGTACTCTACCTGTATGTAACATGTAGAGTATGCTCACTCACACACACACACACACAGACCAGAGGCTGTTCTGCTGGCCTTGTTTTGCGTCTCCCTGCTTTAACTCAGTTCACTCCTGTTCACATCTCCCTCATCAGAACAGACAGATCTCCACTCTCAGCTGCACTACAGTAACACACAGCAACACAGACCACAGAGGACCAAAGCCCCACTCTCAACCAGAGGACTCCTCCCACTCTCAACC